AACTGTAAATTTAAAATAAAATGGGTGGCTCATAGGGCATACACTAAATACAATATAATAATAATAATAATTAATGGTCTTAGCGCCTTAGACTCGTCGACATTTAACATTTAACGAAATCGTGGTCAACCAATAATCAAGTACAAATGTAACACACGAGGTGCGCCGAGACTTATAATTAATAAAACTAATACAATTAAAATCACAAGTTGACTTCACACTTACGCAATCGTATGCCGACAGTTGTTAACGGACACAATATAAAACAATGATGAAAATCCGCAATATTCACAAATACCGACAGGAAATGACCAATCTGGAAAAAAAAATGTGTATAAAATACACATGTTAGACGGATAAAGCATATGATTTAGTTAAATCGGTATTATTCAAAAACAGGACAAAAAGTAGTGTAATTAGGAATAAAGACCGGAAATTATTAATAAATGAGAAAAAGATAGATAGAAAAAATACGTGGAAGAATTTTACAATGAAGAATGTACTTATCACAGAAAAATTTCACTACATTAAACAAGAAAGTGAAGTAGAAATAGATTCCAAAGAACCATCGATTATAAGGAGCGAGTTTGACAACGCATTGGAGCAGCTTAAAAACAAGGAAGCAGCAGGGTCAGATTTAATGAAAAGTGAATTATTGAAGAATATTGACAAAGGAGTGAAGAAGATTCTCTATAACAAGATACAAAATTTTTATATGACAGGATGTATATATTCAGGATATACAGGATATATTCCAAGTGACTTTACGATTAGATAATTAATTATTTATCTACATAATTTATTTAAATAATTTATCTAGATAATGCTCAACATTATCTAACGCCTTTCATTTATTTCCAAGCATTAAAAACTTATATAAAATTACTAATTTCATTAAACGAAACACAAATATTTGATTACCAAGATTAAGTATTTAGTTTTTTTTTCAATGTTTCATTACCATAAGAAAATTGAAAAATTATCTGTTTTAAAAATCTATCTGCTATATTTTTTTTCCAAGAACTCTACTTTAATTAAATTATACCAAGGATTAGATAAAAAATAAAGTCAAATTCAAAAAATACATTTTTTGCTCGAAATTCTAACGAATCTATAAATAAATGAATAAATCAATATAAAATAAGTGCACGCCGAGATAGCGTTTATTATATGACGTTATTTGAATGTTTTAGTTCTAAGAACATCGAACATTTAGGGATTTTAAAGTTTTATTTATGTATTGGTGCTATGTTATGATTATAAAAATCTGGGTAATAATATGAGCAGTAAAAATGGGCATTAAACCAGAACATATTCAGAAACTAAGTATTTTTCATAATTGTAATAAAAAGAAAAGTAAAAATAAAGATGAAATTCGTTTTTTTAATAAATAGATTGTAATAAATAATCTAAAGGGTCACTTTTTGTTAATGTTTCATAATATTTCACACACTAACAAAATTATAGATAAACGTAAGTGCTATGGACAACAAGTTACAATATCGATTAATACACGGATAAAATAAGATAAAATAGTAGCATCCGATTAAATATGGAGTTACTTTTATAGCAATGTATATTATATATAAGCAAGACAGTGGCGTATTTACGGGGGGGGTCCAGGGGTACTGGACCCCCCCCAGAACCTCTCCAAAAAATAAAAAATAAAAAATTAACAACAATTCTTACATATTTGCAGAATTGGGTACGTTAAACATTCACAGGGAAGTTGAAATTACTGTTGATGAAGTGATAGAGGAGTTGGCCAAAAAATCGAGACAACTGGAATTTATTTTATAACAATACTTTATAATATATAATGCTAAATACAATATATAGGTACATATATATAATATTACATAAGACTATACGATTATTACATTATATATTTAATTCAACTTCTTCCAAAAACTGTATAAGGACGTAACTATTACAATATAATATATAGTTTATATTAATTATATATAAACTGTGGACCCCCCCCCCAGAAAAAATTGAAAATACGCCACTGAAGCAAGAAATATTATACCGGCAATGATAAAATACGATTAAGGTAAAAAGTAAGAACACACGTCTAACCTCTGCCGTATTTGAAACAAAAATTGCTGTATTTATCTTTAAAATTTGAAACCAATAATATTAGAAGAATGATTATGAGTGAAAGTGGTATGGTATATTAGTTTATATTTTTAAAAAAATTGTTGATATAGTAGAAGCAGTGTTGAGATTATCTAGATAAAAATGTTAGTTATTTTTATCTTATTTAGATAATAAAAAAATGAACCGTTGAAAATTATTGAAAAAATTATCCGAGATAAAAAAATTATTCATCTAGATCAGTGGTTTTCAACCTGGGGGTCGCGATTCATAGGTTTGGTGGTTGCCAAAAATAAAATTTCCATATCATTTAAAAAAACCAAAGTAAATTATTTATTTTGTAAAATTTTTAAGTGTTAATTAATCACAATTGTTTATCATGTAAATATTTTATTGATAATTAAATCAAATTTTGATGAATAAAACAACATTTTTTATTTTTTTGAAGGGGTCGTATTACACAAAAATAAAAAATGGAGGGTTGCGATTCGAAAATGGTTAAAAACCACTAATCTTGATGATTAGATAAATTATTCATGATCGCTAAGATATTTTTCAGTTTTCCAAAAATTGTCCATACTAGTGCTAGACAGTAGACATATTTGTTGTTATTATTTTATTTGTTTTATACAGTAATCACTATTCGCTAATCGGTATAATTCGTGGTATGTAATATAATATTATCAAAAATAATGTTTATTTCAGTACCTATTCTCATTTATCTTTGATGTGTTTACTATTACTTGTGCAGAAGAATAGCTTACCAATAGTTGGCGATTGTTGTTCTAAAAATAAAATATTTGTTCCAATAAAACATGGAAATAATCAAATAACACGATATTATGAAATATGATACTGATAAATACTCCCTGTCCACTGCACTACTAAAGTCTAAAGTACTATCTGCAGTCCCGTGGACATTACCACTCAATTTGATAAATTTTTCGATAAAAGACTATTTATATTACAATATACATGGCGGAGCAATAATGCAATCGGAAAAACATAATAAATATTTTAGTCCCCAAAATATAATAATATAATAAGTATATAACAACGTATATACACCTTTCGACCAATCTATGGAAATTAACTGTGACTGTCTTACAATATATTTTGGCATTTTGTTAATACTAAGAACACGTCTATATAATATAATTGATGTTCACAAATTTAATGAATGTGGTATTAATGCTTAAACATTTAAATAGGTAAAACTAGTTTCAAAATTAAATAAATGAAATAATTGTTATTAAATGGCACAATAGTGCTAACTGTTAAATCATAGCTTTTTTGCACTAAGTACCAACATTGTTTCAATTTTCGAATTACGTTGAATGTTGATATGGACAAGTTCTTTGTAAAATATAATGCAAGTACTCGTAAACGTCATATTGTAACCAATTAGGACTAAAAATCCTGGTAGTACTCCCTTTTCATATTTATTTTTCTCTTTCTACTGCATGGGTATTACTTGGAGAATGCAAAGAAGATATCATGTAGACTGATTAATCCAACCAACTGAATAGTTCTATGTTATTATTACTAATATAATAATTTATTTATTTATAATTTTAGTAAAATAATTATTAAATATAGGTAGTATCAATAGTCTGTAGTTATTATGTTCACTATTTATTGTATTATTGTAAAATTGTTGAATTATAACAATTTGTACCAATTAATTGATTATTACAGTTACCTACTCAATCTGTAATACTTCTACTGTAGTTTATTGTAACTATGTCGATTTTTAAAATATCCCAACCATATTGCTGATTGATATTATGGTAATAAATATAAAATTTATCTCGAATTTATCTAGATAAAAAGTTAACTTTATTATCTTTATCTTCACATAGATAAAATATTTTTAGTTCATCTTTATTTTTATCTAGATAAAATTTTAGTTATCTGGGCTCAACACTGAGTAGAAGAACCGAATTTCCTAAAAAGGAAATTTAAATTTTTAATATTCTCACTTTCACACAAAAAAGGTACCTATCTGAAATTAGGGGAAATAAATAATTTTAAGCACTCATAAGCAAGCATAAATTTTATTAAAATTTTTCAAAACTATAAAATCTTTTTAACTAAATAGTTAATATTATTTAATGAAAATTCGTTATAATATTTAATTTTTACATTTCATTTAGTATTGCCTTACTTTTCAGTAAAATATTTTTTTATTTTGCTATAAATAAAACTTATTAAAATCTTTTACCTAATTTTCAATTTTTTACCTTCAAAATTGACATTTTGGTTAAGTTGTAACTATAAAAATGATTAAATTCTTAAATGTTTCGAAAAAAAATATTACAAAAATTCGCACGTATCAGGTAATTATAATTATTACATTTCTATTATAAATCGAATTTTTTAACATTTATACAGCAGATAGTAACTAAAACTATTATACCATTATCTTAAAGAGACACATTTTTTATTCGTCCGTTTTTCAGGCCATTTGTATGGAATACATCTTCTTAACCCTGCCAAATGTTAACAGTCATATTTTGGTGTAGTTAAACTATGTAGTGAATAAGTTTATGGTTGTAGAAAATGGTTAGGACACGTTTACTTAACTGCCAAAATATAAAATCGTGAATACGGTCGTAACTGATCTTTAATATTTTTATTTTTATTTTTTATCAAATGTAGCGTATATTTAGCAGGCGTATACCCAAAGCATTTGATTTTCTTATCAGAATTAAAATTTTATAACCCAACCTAACCACGTAAACTCTGTTGCTGAATTTTTAACCGTTATTGAAATCGCTAAACGCGTTCAGAAAATCGATTATAGAAAACGTGTTATTAGAAATATTTAATTAAAGGTTACTTCACCAATCATGTATTTATATGTAATATGGTATAATAATTGTAAGATGTTAACATTGCAGACTTTGTAATATCGTTGTATCCTGACTACTGGCACGGGCCGATGGCACACGGCTATTTTTTCCAGTATGCTGGCATGGCGCTGGCGTTTGGACTACACAGCGCCGTATGCAATACCATCAAGCTGTATTGCATGTCCGCCGCACTGGTGGTGGCCGTGTTGCTGTACGGCTGGCTGGAATGGCGTCTGCAGCTAACGGTTAAGCGACGGCGAATCACGAACCATTCATGACGTCAAGGTGAAACCGCATCTTCCTGCAAGTAGTGATAAATCCCCGACGTGACGACCCTTCTGTCTAATTTCGGTTTTGTGGCGTTAGTCATTCCAACGCCCTCGGCTCCGACTTACCTTCGGTCTGGATAGTATGATGATTGTGGCTCAAACGCAAACGATTCTAACGTGAACACAGTATATTATGCGAGACGTCATCTTGTCACCTCTGCAGTTAAACAATTAAAATATGTATTTATAGCGTACCACTGCGATATTTCACCGAATTAAATACACTTATATAGATACAATGAATGAAGACGATGCAAACAACGGACAACGCAGTTGTCTGTGTGGATCATATATATTAAATAATAACAATAATAATAATCTTATGTTAACAAGTGATTTTTTATATAATTGAACCATTTATCTTTTCTAGTGTTCTACTCATTATTTCAAGATCTTATTTCAGGTTTTTGTGTTTTTACATAAATAAAGTATTAATTTAGTAGCTGCTATACCCAAAAACAATAAATGAAAAATCATGTAATTATGGAGGTATTTGATATTTATTAAAAATGCCTATCCCCGTAACAGAATTTTGTTTTAATATTCTAGATAAAAATTTAACATTCCCTTTCACTTTTTTGTTCGACCGCAATCTTTATTCATATTATAAATTGGGCTTAGATTAGATTATCAAATCACAAATATTAATATATTAATTTTGAATTAACGAATTATATGAGCACCAATTTAAATTTTTTTACTAATCGGGTTTATACATTATCTGAATGAGTGATTTTCAAAATGAGGATAAACTAATAAAATGTTTATCTAGTTACTACATTAGTTACACATTATTACACAGTTAACACATTAGCCTATGTTCGCGATACTTTAAAGTATATATATAATAATAATATAATATTATAGTACTTAGTATAGTATTGTTTTACATGCATATTTATTATAAAATAAAATTAATGAATGGTTCATTGTAAAAATGAATAATAAGATCCATTTCCATATCCATTTCACTCTTTTCGATGTCGATGGCGAAAAATTATCAGAGAATTACTTCAATTTATTAGTAAAAATTAAAGTGAATCTTGTCCCCCTTAAGAAAAAAAAATCAAAGTGTAATTTGCTTTCGTTAAGTTTAGTTCGAACTTTAACGGGTGTCATTTTCGTCAACAGGCTTGTAAAAATTTGTGTTTCATATTTTTTATTGTAAAATTTCCTTATGTGAAAATAAAAATTCTTTATCCACTTCTATCACAGATGAGTTATTTTAAAAATCCGAGTGAAAAAAAATACCGATAAATATTGGTGAGGTATGAATTATTTTAAACATTTGAAGTTTTTAATTTTTTTTTTTTTTTATTATCTACGATTGATTTATCAAAATGCTATATTTGAACTGTGTTGATTTGTATTGTATGTTTAATTTTATAATAATAATTTTATAATTCGTTTGAGTTATGACATATGTATAATATACATTGTATATATATAATTATTCTGAAAAGTTTATTTTGTTAGGTATGTGATTTTTAAATATCCTATTTAAAATTCTGCGTATTTCTACTGAAACTTGACCGAGTTCACAATCCTTTTTCAAGCAATATTTTATGTTTAAACGTAGAATAAATATAATTGATTGGAAAATCTATCTTTAAACTGAATTTTTTATAATTTATAATGATTTAAAATAGATAGTGAAAAAATCAACAATATCTATATAGTCTATATTTTTGTTTTTCAATTGTATTGCAATACCTAGTTTTATATAGTTAAACCCATGTAATCAAAACACATTTTAATGGGTATAAAATTCTCGTTTTATTTTACAGTTCAATAGTACTATTGTCAAATACCGATTGGCGCAAATATGTAAAAAATAAAAATAAAATAGTTTCAGGAATTTCTTTGATCTCTTAAAGCAAATATTTGACTGATTTTCAAGTTATAATAATAATTGCAGATTTGAATTTCGGATAAAATTAATTTCATAAATTAATATAACATTAGTTATCCTAAATACGGGAAATTTCAGTGGAAACTGAATAAATGTTAATTTGTTTCACATGATTTTATTTATATACGGTGTCTGTTAACCATTCATTATACGATATAAGATAATTAAAATTTAAACCAAAATCTTACTAGGTGAATAGAAAAAAGTGTTGTTCGTACAAATAGATTGATTTATCACTAATAATAGTTCTATTATAATGGGGTAATTTTTTCGGATTGAAATTAATTGTTTATAGATTTTCGTGTTAGAAAACATATACCTGTTAGAAATTCACAAACAGAACTATACGACTCCTACGTTAAATCAGGCTAATTAGAGTATACATTAAAGTATAACCCATTCCATGGTCTAACCAATATTTATTACCTATATTATAGATATTATATGGTCCTATAGAATAACTGTCTTATATATTAATATTGTAAATTTATTTTATCAAATTCTATGTGTCTACAAGTTTGTTGCGATTAAGTTATAGTCTTGATGTGGAAAATGTACGTTTACTGTTTAATAAGGGAGTGTATCTACACATTTGAAGTATGCATTTTAATAAGTATATGCGTGTACATAGAAAGTGCAGATTTGTATGATGTTTAATTAATATTAGTATCGGTAATTCAGTGTCTCACTGAATATACCGTTAAATATGTTGAGATATTTTTAAAGATCGTTTGGTTGATTTCATATATTATTATTTTTACCTAAACACAAATGATTCATAACAAAATTTATGGGACCAGTGAAAATGGTGTTCTTATCCTATATGTCGCACCAACTACTAACCAATCTTAACTATGTGACCAACGATCTTCCAAGACCATAAGATGTTATTATTGATAACAATAGATACGTCTTAAGACGTTGTGTATAACAATGTCGTTTTATACGGTTTCTAATTTAAAATATATGTTTGTGGTGAAAGTGAATACCCAAACTCACCCTATTCCTTATAATGTCGCTCAATAATCGATTATCGAAAACAATAATTATCATGTCGAATTGAATATGTACCTGTTATTATTGTTGTGGATTGCGTTAAAAAAATAAGGATCACTTGATATACGCGTCGTGAGGTGTTATGAATAATAATAATTTGGATTACAACCATAGTCAAATTGTATGGATAAGACAGACATTACAAGTAACTCATTTTTTCAAAATAATAGTGATGGTTTAATATTATATTAATATCATTGATGTATTTAGTTAAAAATAATTTTTTTTTAAGACCATTTGAATTATAATTAAATTATAATTACAGTTAAATTTATTTATAATATTGTGAAGTTATTTAAGGCACCATTTTGGTGAGATGTTTTGTTAGTAAATAACGATTGTCCGTTTTCGGTTTGATTAAATAAAAACGAGTTTCATAAATATCTATTTCTGATGAATTTTTATTATAATTTACTATACCATATTTATGTGGTGTATACTTTTAATAAAACAATATAATGTTAAATGTTTGTAAATATTTGTTTTATTTTTTAATAAGAAACTCAATATAATTACAATATTATAGTATCATTAAGGTTATGGATATAAAATAGTTACGGAATTATAAAAGCTGTTTCTGAAGGATATATTATATTATATGTTTTTCTTGCAAGTAATTGCCAAATATGAAGCAATATAAAGAGTAGTATTTTATGTATGCACTTATATAATAACGGCCTTAGTAAAGCCGTGGGATACTTTTTTTCTTGTAATTTAATAAATTAAAATAATAAATAATTTATTTTAATCAAAATGTCTATAATTTTAAGGGAAAAGGGAAAAACTGTTTTAATGGTCGATGGTTATAAATATGGATCTTAAAAACACCTTGCTAATAAAATTAAGAGATGGACATGCAACAAAAAAATATGTAGAGCCTACTTAAAAACTAATTTAATCGATGAAATTCAGTTTGATATTTCAAACATAATTCATACATGTACGAAGGACTCAGAAAAAAAAATTACTACAAATACTAGGACACATACTAGTTGCGGACGAAATTATTTAGGTTAATATTGTAACATAACAATTGCGGACTCGTTTTTCGTTATCGTAATACTAGTTGCTTACAAAGGTTTTTTTTAATAAAAATATTTTTAGATTGCTGTGATTATTTATTTATTTTTTGTAATAGGTTTTATAGTTTTTGTGGCAAACATTTTTTTGAGACAGCCTATATAAATGATAATCTACTGATTTCACCATTTGAATATTGCAACATTTGTTTGCTAATAATATCCTCCTTTTTGACAGTTCTTTTGGCTCGTTTTAAATTTCTTATAGCAGTACAGTCAATTTTAGTATAACTACCAATTTGTACTTCATTTAAGGCCTCAATAAATTGATATATATTAGGGTGACTGAGATTAAACATACCATTAAGTTTAGCATGGAAACTTTCGCAAACATTGGTGGTTCGTGAAATAGATGATGAAAATTCTGCCCATATTTCTGGAGGAAACATTGTAGAATCTGTATTTATACAGTTCAAAAAAAACATAATCTGTAAAATTGTATACAGCAGTACAGCCAGCTGGTAGCGTAGACATAAAGTCATCTTTAAAGCAGTCATCCACTTCGTTAGGTGACAAAAACGGTAGACCAAAAAATGATTTTAAAAAGTTCCCATTTTCACCCTCAGTACTATATACTTTAAATAGACCTAATGACTGTATTTTTCGATACCAAACTTGTCCGAGATGGAACCAAAATCCTTTTATTTTGCTCATTAGCCATACTAGACGAACAGCTGAGTGAATAGATTGTTCAAAATCAATATGAAAAGTGGTTGGTAGTATTGATGAACGTTTTTTCAAAAATTCGAGTGCTGTACAATAATCAGTAACTGATTTGCCTACTAACCAACAAAAAAATAATGGTACGTAAATACTATTTTTTACACCATGGATCACTAATAATTGATTAAATAGAGATGGACAACTTGAAAAAGTACCATTAACTAACCTTTTTAGATTTCGTCCGCAACTCGCTTTTTCATGAACACATTCTACAACATAATGTAAGTACAAATACATTAAAAACTACAGATGTGATTTATATAAAGAGTAACATGCTTCATGCTTAGAGTTTACAATATCCAAAATCGCCACAAAATTTAAATTAAGTGCGTACAGTTTTTGCATCTATTGAGATTAATTATCTCACAAGCGATAAGTTTTTGTTAGTAAACGATATATCAAATGGTTTAATAACGTTTTCGTGTGAAAAAAAATAAAAAGTTTTTAAGTAAATTAAATACTTTATACGTGGATGGAAATTTTAAATACTATACAAAATATTTTTGTCAATTATTTATAATCCATGGATTACTTAATGATCATGCCTTTAGTATTATTTTTGCTCAAAGATAAAAATC